GTACTGACAAAGTCAAGGGAGACTGGAGTGGTCATTTCTAGTTTATTGACCGAGACAAGTGTGCTCCTTAGCGTGATCGGAAAGAGATCACTGTTACTATACCTGAGAGGACAAAGAAACCCTGTTTCAAGGCTTAGGACGTTGGACTTCTAACCAACAAAGCGTAGATTTGAGTCTCGGTGGTTGGAACACCTTGGATTGCGTAGGACTGGGTGGCAAAGTCTAAAAAGGCAGAAATGGTCATTCCAGTCTCCCCTGTCTTTGTCCGTAATAGTATTCCATCCGCATATCACGAGCAGCTCTTCGGCTGCTAGTGGGTCTCGAAAATAGACCTCAAGATCCAACAGGACAACTATGTCGTATAACGCGATCGACAGGCACCTCAATGCCACTGCCTGCAACTGTTTCGGCAATTCAACGATTGACTTGGCAATTCTTTTGTGTACAGACTTATTGAAAATAGAAGAAAACACGCAGAACCAACTGAAGCCTTGTTGTCGCCTGGCAACTGGTTTTTTATTTCACGGGTCTCGGTCCTTCTCTCGGCCTGTTTACTAACGAGTGCTCATCAGTTTTCCCCAAAATTTATTTGGTGTTTTTTCGTGATTCTAGTTGAAGAATTTCATCCTTTCGAGTAACTCTGCGGGCAATTCGGCAGAAGTGGGAGACCTCGTCACTGCCTATACTGAACTGCGTGAAGAAGTGGAAGAACTGCGGGAGAATTATAGAAAAGCCAAAGAATCGGCTGAACAGCTGACAAGAGAACGCGATTTCTTGAAAGCGAAGGTCAACGAACGACAGATTTACTCAGATCAAGGGACCAGTTCCTCAACAGAGGATGACGTCTTCCGTTCTTCAAACGGGACCGTTCAGTCGGTGGTGAGTGCACTTTCCCGTGCTGTTTCATGAAGCTTAAACAACATGTCTACTGAAATAAATTAAATAGACCCTCTTGATTTTTTTTATCGTAGACTGCAGGACCCAGTGAGGATTTTGCTCGCAGGATGCAGCAGCTGCGGGAAGAAAAGGACAAGTGGGAAAGGTATGCAAACCGGCTGGTCGAGAAGGTGATGGAAACCCACCCCGAGATCCTGGACTCGGTGCCCGAGGACGGAGACGAGGACAATGCCGGGGCGGATGGACG